TCGTGAGTTCCGTAATAAAAATCAGTCAATGTGAGGTATTGTATCTACATAAGCTGCGATCTATTATGCGATTGACTGTAACTGTATGCAGTAGATTTTACTATTTATCTTTAGGAATCTTTCAATTACCTTTTATTTGACTGACCTTAAGGTTGAGAGCCGATAAAAAAACTTACACTATTAGTCAATGTGGATCAAATCTTCGAAGCCAAAGACGAATGAGTTTTGATAACTTCGAATATATGACTTGGATAATAATGCTATGGCTGATCTGGTGAGGGATCCTAAATAACTTTAGAAATATTATAATTAAATGTTGTAACACAATCGGATTTGGGCTCGTTTAATTTATTTTAATAAGAACTTTTTGTTTATATGTATTAAGGACGTTTGGAAGGGCCGAAAGATTGTCATAGGACCAAACCAAATAACCCTATCGCGCTAAGACGCGTTTAATTTGTTGTGATATAAACCTTGATATTAAATAATATTCAGGTTATATATTTATTATACAACTGGAGGAAACTTGTTAATAAAATAAGGCAATCCCTTCAAGTTTAGTTTGTCTCCAGGTTCTCTGATCCCAATATATTTTTATACTTTAACGCAATTAGTATCAAAGTCTCGATTCAATTTGATTTAAAATATAATTTGGACTACTTAGGTACATATTATACGATTGACGTAGAGATAGTATTCCACTATTTGTTCAACTGAAAAAATAATTGCACATATTTCCTCGGCAACAAATGAGTTTCTATCAGAGTTTTCAAATATTAACCCGTCGCGCCGTAACTGATACGAATAAAATTATATAAATGCTATTTTATATAAAAGTGATCAATATCTACATAACCTCTCGAGTGTGTGAGCCTTTTCGGCCTTCGGAGAAAAAGGTCACTTGGAATGTATCTTTCTCAATATTTTTGATTATATTTAGAATAAAAACAGTATCATAAAAATAGACGTACAAAGGTTAAACTAGAAAGGCATGTGTGCAGATATTACAACATATAACTCTATTTTGAGAATAAATAACACATTTGAAAACTAGTATATTAGAGTTTTTCATTTCGACTTAAGCCAATTTGCCAACTACAAAGAAAAAGCGTTCAAGTCACGTACAATATTTATTATATGTAGATCCTATGTAAGTTAAAAATTATTGAGAGTTAATCGTTGAATATTCATACTTTTGAAGGAACCTCAAAACCTCTATCAAAATTTAATCATACGAATGAATTTCGCTGGACGATTAGAAAATTTTCATTCGATACATATACTTATTGTTTTTAGACTATCGACAAAACTGTACGAATTACACCTTCACTTCTCAGTTCGGCTAATCGCCAACGTGTCGCCAACTTAGGATATGTGTCCGTTCTCACTCAGATACTCAGACAGCCGGTTTTTGACTTTATTTGCATTAGCAGTCGGACAAGTTCTCTAAATATACCTTACAATATTTTCAAATGTTAAAATAATCATCATTAATTTTGTATCCGTTTATAGGGGCCATCGATTTATGCAAAGCTCGAAAGAGGGAAGGGGTTTTGTCAAAAATTAAGGGAGAAGTAATTATATATCACATGTATTTATTTTTTCCTCAAACGCGCGATTACTAAACTGAAAAGCGGCGGGTGGAGTGGGGGTAATCTTAAACTACAGCATTATTACCAAGGCGGAGGAGGGGTTAAAAATGCTAAAAAACATCACGTGATTAATAAACGGCCCCTAAGGTAATGTACTTGCAACGAATAGGCATTTCAGGGTTAAAATTATTCGAACAAAAATATTAAAGTTTTATAATCACCGACGTAAGTAAATATTTTTTGTGAATTCGCTTGAATTGCTATAATGATAACGTGAATTGTATGATATACTTAATTTATTGCATGATAAAGTTTGTGAGTTAAATTTTATGCAAATATGCTATTTTTCCATAATGTTATATGAAAGTGATCAACACGCCAGTCACCCGCTTCGAAAGGATTTTGATGAATTCTACCCTCAAGGGGATAAAATAGGGGATGAAAATTTGTATGACACATTGTCAATTTTAAACCGATCGGGCTGAGACTTTGCATGCATTAAGTTACTATGACATAGGCATAAGAAAGGATTTTCATAAATTAAGCATGATTAGATAAAATAGGGGATGAAACTTTATTAAAGGTATTTTATACGATATAATTAATAAATATTCGTTAGAAATGTTGCTCATAGTAACTTTACCACGCGGACGAAGTCGCGGGCAAAAGCTAGTATATATATGAAATTATTGAAAAATCAGATATAATGGAGCGCCACTTGAAAGCGATACAATCGCACTCTTAAAATATTAAGAATACTTTTTAAACGCTACTTCATAAAAGTAGATTTCTGTTAAACCGCAATTTGTATTCAAGGTAGTGTAAATACAAATTCGCAGAAAATATATTTGGCTTCTTCTTAAAATGGACACATGTAGGTCGTAGGTACAATATATCAAATTTTAAGCAAAGGATTTTTAACCTTATACTAAATGCAATAAGACTTAAAATTAAATATTGAAATTTGCCTCTCTTGTAAGCCCTGATGTGTGATTGACTGTATCTACAAATAATATTATAATACCTAAGATCTAGATAAAGAAACATCTACATTAGTGTAGGTGTTATAATAATAATCAATGAGCTTTCATAAAACAATTTGGTCGCTGTATCAGAATGCGACGTGAGTAAATATTTAATACTGTTGTAAATTATAGTAATCTGCAATCGAGATAATTGTTTTATGATAAAAATTCTCTATTTATATTTTAAAATAATATGATATTATGTAACAGAGTAATAGTTTGAAGATATGAACAAAACAATATTATTATGTATCTACGAGATATACATTAAACGAGAAATCCAATAAATTGTAATCATTTATTAAAATGAGTGAAATGAGAACAAATATAGTAAAATTTAAGAGAAGCTGGTTGAAGTAGAAAATAGAAATGTATAAGAAAAAATTATATGTTAAGACAGATTATTAGATGAAATACTAGCTTTCCGCCAGTGGCTTCGCCCACGTGATCTTGTATTATACATAAAAACTTTTGAATCACTCTATCGTACTTTTAAAGATTTAAGCATACATGTTATAGGGACAGAGAAAGCGACTTTGTTTTATACGATGTATTGTTTTTTTTGCTAGCTGTGTGTAAGTGAGTCTAGTGTGTGTATATATATATAGGCGAATCCGAGACTCACACAGCGCCGCGACCGCGGAGCAACACAGTTATAGCTTAATCTAATCGACTGGATCCTTCATATGTCTTAAGATTTTGGGAAATAAAATAATGCAAAAAAAACTATCCTAAAAGATAATTATGTCAACGTGTGATGTATGCCAAAAATGTTTATGCCAAATAAAGACTCTGAGAAATGTTTAGGAGTGGATAACAAAATTACGGCTCACAGCTGAGGGTATTGAGTGAACTATACGGGAGGAACAAAATGACCGACACAGCCGAAAGTTTCAAGTTAGGTTAAATGCAAACGTTCATTTTATTTGATAAATATTTAAAAATAGAGGAGATGTAAAAATGGAGTAGAAATTTTAAATTTCTAAGTGTTGACAGCCCTTTAACGCGCATGCGCAATATCGATTGTGCGCAGATTACAACGGACCGCGAAATACATTAATTTAATTTAATTATTTACCGATATCTTAATGATAGTCGATGCTGCAAATGTTCAATTCTTCTCTGAAGACAGCTAAGCACGCTCTTTTGCATGCCAGTGTATGCACGCGCAAAACACATCACATTTCACACAAAACTAAACACAATCTTCACTAAACTAAACTTACCACTCAAGACGAACACTCTAGTATCTTATTAACAAAAATTCAATTAAAAATGCACTAGAACAAAACAAAAATCGACAAAAAGACGCTTCGCAGCGGTGCGTCGGCGGCGATGCGCAACAACACTCCCGAGCAAAAGGTCGGCGGCGACTGATCGGCCGGACAATACTAACAGAATAATAAAGCCGCCTGGCGGCTGGCGGGTGGGTGGGGCTTTGATATTGAGGGACGAACTCGGTTCATATTTTTTTATTCTTCTTTTGATATCACGCATTTTTAATGTTCTTTTTAAATGCTACTTTAATAACAAATTCCTCAATGTTTTTTAAAAAAAGTTAATTTGTGTTAATGATGCATCGCTGGAAGATTTGTGAGTTTATCGAGTTTAATTAACGATCCCGTTGTTAAAGGAGTATAACCCCATTCAAACAATTTTTATGAAGAACAGCTCTTTTAATATAACGTAGGTTAATGTTAGACTGATCTCTCTACAACAATTTAGGAAATTTTACACTCTGTTTCTTAATTGAGTATTTAAAGTTAAACGTCTCAAACTAATATCACTTAGTTTTCGTTTCCGATTTTAGTTTTTTGATGATCAGATGATAGCAGTTTGATAAAACTAAGACTATTTGACTTGTGAAATTAAAAAACTTAGGTTATTGAGAATAAGCAGTAGAAATTTTCTTCTTTTTTCAAATCATAAACCGGCTGTTAGTCTGTTAATTGATTTAAGCATTTTGACTGCCTTGTTTATTGATTGACTGCTAGAATTTGCATGAAAGCAGTCTTATAATTCACATTCTAGTTCATTTCGTTTATAGAAATGAAGAAGTCAATGACCGATTTTAAACTTTTCCTTAGTACGTCCCAAAAACAGCTGACTCAGGGTTGAAAACACTCATTTTTTTCCAAAAACTTTGTAATTTAATATCTCCGAAACTATTTGACCTAGACTTATAATTTTTTTTACATCATATTAAAGACAAATATTACTCTCCGGGAACCTCGGGAGTGTCGGTCGTTCTGTTCCACCGAGTATATGTATAGATTTGGTGCAGAATACAGAAGGTACAAAAGATTACACAACACAAATGATGATAACTTAACATTTCAATTCTAGCCTAATTATTCTCTGGTAAATGTAACACTATACTTACATGATCGTAAAGTTCTGGTCAGAGCGTTGTCTGGTGTGTTTGGAAATTGTGTAGTTTTCTGTCCAAGAAGCTTGTGGGCTTGCGCTGGCCCGTCTTGTTCCTCCATGATTTCTTCTTTATTCTACGACGCCTAATTATCTGTAACAATATATTTAAACAAATTACCTGACGCAATTAAGTGTGATAAAATCAAAATCATTGACTTTTTACCGTGAAATAAATTATTAACTTTGTATCAAGTTAATGTAAAGAATATATTGTTTTAAACTTTCATGGTCTTAGTTTAACATTTGAATGATCGTTAAAAAAGGGGTTGTTATCATGTACCTTATATTTTAAGACTTACTGATATTTCCACGCTGTTGAAAGAGTCATGATCACGGAGTAACAGATCATGGCGTTACTCTTAGTTATTCTGTAGTCACGATCAAAAATCGGGAAATATAAGGTACATGGTAGCAAACCCACTTTTAGCTATTATTTTAATGCCCATGACATCATAATTGTTCATCAAATACATTTAAGAAAATTAATATTTTCATTTTACCCAAATCGCGCACTGGCATTTTTACAGAAATATAGATAATTTAACTTGTTATCAGAAATTAATACAAAATAATCAAAATATTAATATATACGAGGGTCAAACTGAAAGTTCTTAGAACTGGCCACTTATAAACAATATAATAAAAAAATAATTCTAAAATTTGAAAATATAACTCTTTGCCAATATTACTGAGTATATATTTCATTCATTTGTCATTTGTTTTACGATTTGGCGGCAAATTGAAAATTGTCTGTGTCACGTCATCATGAATTTAACACGAGAAAATTTTCGTGCAATGATTTTTTATGACTTTCGATGTCATTTAAGTCAACAAGAAAGTTATGATAGACTACGATTGGCCTTTCACGATGAAGCCCCATCTCGTGCGACTGTTTACAACTGGTTTAATGAGTTTAAACGTGGTCGCACTAATCTCACTAATGATTTACGTGAGGGACGGCCTTCTACGGCGACGACTGAAGATAACATCTGTGTTGTGCGGCGTATGATAGAGACTGACAAAAGAGTGACCTATCAACAGATTCGGACAAGCTTAGGCATCGGTATGAGTCAAGTGCACAAAATCCTCCACGAACATTTAGCGGTCAGGAAGCTTTGCGCCCGGTGGATACCTCATAATTTGACTGAGGCTCAAAAACTCCATCGTGTGGATTGGTGTCGTAAAATGATTGAAAGATTTAACGGAGGTGACTCAAATGCTGTGTTCGACATACTAACAGGTGACGAAAGCTGGATTTACTGTTATGATGCTAAAACCAAAAGACAATCTGCTCAGTGGGTGTTTCCTTTCGAGGAGTTGCCAACTAAAGTGAAGAGAGATCGAAGTGCGGGAAAAAAAATGGTGGCCTCGTTCTTTGGAAGGATAGGTCATTTTGCAACAATTGTGTTAGAGGATCAAAAAACAGTTTCTGCAGAATGGTACACTACCAATTGTTTGCCACTTGTCTTGGAAAAAGTTCGAGAGAAACGACCTCGCAGTAGGATCCTCCTTCACCACGACAACGCCTCGTCGCACACCGCCAAGCGAACGATCGACTATTTGGCGACATCAAACGTTGAATTACTGGGTCACCCGCCGTATAGCCCCGACCTCGCGCCTTGTGATTTTTATTTATTTCCAAAAATTAAAGAAAAACTTAAAGGAAAGCGGTTTATGAATGCTGAAGAAGCGGTGGCTGCGTATTGCGATGCCATTGAAGAGACCCCTAAGGACGAGTGGGCAAAGTGCTTTTCCCAGTGGTTCCATCGCATGCAGCGGTGTATTGACGTGAATGGACAATATTTTGAAAAGATATAATAAAACTAATAACTGGCTAATGTAATCAGTTTTTGATTTTCTAAGAACTTTCAGTTTGACCCTCGTATAAAGATAATATACAATGTAATATAAGATTTCTATTATCATTATATATAATATTTTAACGAATTATTCCGGGAACACTTTCATAAATATGATATTAGAAATTGAAAACACAAGAATCGTTAAATAGTTTGATAATTCTACCTTTTATCTGTAATAAAAAAATAAAAAGAGATACTATACATAGTTGTAAAAAAAAAAACAATTAAGAACTTTACACAAACAATTCCTATGAATAAATAAATAGGTAGGAAAGAAATCCTATGAGGAAAATTAGGTGATTGGCTCGATTCCAAGTGGGTCTTTGGAAAGCCTTGTAACTTAAAGATTGGAAACTAATCTTTCAATAGCAGTAATATAATCATATCGCACACCTAGATCTAAACTAAGACAACTCAAAAAACGAATGTGGAGGTCTGACAATACATTTGTTTACGTGGCAGGAGCGCGACTACTGTTGATTCAACAAAAGAAAGCTAAAGTCATCTAGCGGCTCATCCCAGAACCTTTATTGAATCTGTTATGTAGGATAGATGCGTATGATCACCAAGTATTTGAATATTGTACTAAGTCAAAACTCACTCAAATTTTTGAGTTGTCTCAGTTTAGATCTAGGTGTGCGATATGTAAGTCCAGGAATTACAATCATCCATGTTTTATAGATTTTATTCAAAACTATTTCTTGGATTTTCTTTGTAACAATCAAACATTAGACTTTAAAATATATGTTTTCTACAAATTAAGCTCTTTCATTTGATGCAGAAATGTGGTGGGATGTTTAAATATATGTGACCCACTAATTCGTTGCGGAAGCCATTTTGAATTATCAACATTACTGATTCGTCATTGTCAGCAACTTATTAATATTCCCATTCTCGAAAAACAAGCCTACTGATTCATCATCAGCCTTTTAATGTTAGTGCTGGAGCACACATCTTCTCTATGGATAGAATCTGATCAAATGGAGAGAACTTATTTTTAATAGATATTAGCTTTACGCCAGCGGTTTTACTTTATACAACATTTTTCATTGCTGCCCTATTCATTAGTTAAAGCGTGATATTTTATAGCTTATGGTCTTCCTCAAAAAATGGATTCAACACATAATTGTAAAAATATTTATTCGACACATAAATATTTTTTCAATTAGAACCAGTATTTCCTTAGATTAGCGCGTTCAAAAAAACTAATACCTCAGCTTTATGGCATTATAAGTATAAATAATTAAATTGTCACCAGAACTAAAAGTTAACAGTGTGTTGAATAAAACCTCATAAAAATACACATTTCTTATAATTCCATAATTCAATTATGAACTATTTTATAATTTTGATTCAATCCAATTTAATCATTCATATTTCATGCGTAATCTAAATAACATTAAACTTAATTGAGTTAGTTATTTTTAAATCTTTGGCATACCTTTGATTTTTTGCAGCAAGAAAAACTTAACATACGTTTGAAACCTGTTTGACCACATCGAAGCAAACATAAACATGAACTATCAAGAAACGCGATAGACTACTTTTTTGCAATGTGTAAATAGGCCGCCGAATAGAATATTATATAATATGGAACAAGTTTATCATATAAAAAAGAATAAAAAATTACTAGCTACCAATTAAAAATTTCATTAAATTTAATAATTAAGGTAAATTCACCTATTGCGAACCACTCTTTTTGATTCCTGAAATGTTAAAAGTTTAACTAATAGGAATTTAGTTTAAATTACATTCTTCTTTTCCATTCCAAATTAAGTAGCTTAAGAACTTGAATTATAAATATTTGAAACACCAAATGTTCTTTAAAACCCAGACACGAAAAATATACAAAAGTTAAATTTCTATATTGACCAAACCGAGAATCAAACTGATCAATCAAACTTGGTACCTGAGAATACTTTGGAACCAGTATAGGTGGTACTTGGCCAAATAGGTCTACTTATTTATTAACTTCAATCAAATTTAATATCCACCGTTAGTGTTACGATACCAAAATATCGTAGACTTCTAATTTATTCATGTGCATAGCTCAAACTATTTAATCAATCGTCGCAATTCTATGAAAATAGGTTTTAAGTTCTTTGGCCTAATTTGAATTTATCGCAAATCTTTTTACAGGTATAGCGACTGCGATATTAAATAATTTATATTCAACTTTTGCTACACCTTTAAGCGTAAATCAGAAATCAATTTACAAATAGCAGAAAAAAAAAATCCTAATGTAGAGATGACAGGAAAACAGGGAAGTTTTAAAAAATTTAATTGACATAGAATGGCTGGACTAAATAAAAATCCTTATTACAGTGTGACCGTTCCATTCTGTAAAACATTTGTAATCAAAGAGGTCTCCTAACTGCTATAAGATTTATTTTCAGCCAAGCCCTAATAAAATTTGTTTCTTTTATTTTAGTTCTATTTTGGCAGTGGTATTTTTATAGGTATAATAATGGTATGGAAACCCTTTGCGTGCATCTGATTCGCATTTGTTTGGTATATAGTTATTATTATTGTAGATAGGACGTCGTACGCATGATAATATTTACTTGCTAGTTTACTTTTGCAGTGGTATTGTCTATACTTACCTTTAAGTAATGGTAAATATTAAAAACAAGTTTTTTTATCTCGAATAGGACAAGATTCCACATAAGGATTTTCAAGTAAATTTAAAAAAACTCGGTAAAGTTAACATAAATTTTACATTATAAGAGACCTTATTGAAGTTTACGAGATGTGCTTTCTAAAGTTCAAAGTGTTATGAATGGACTTGTTAATAAAAAGGGATATAATTAATCGAAGTCAAGAAAATCACAACTTAAACCACTCTAGTGAAATTTGATGTCCAATAAATGATATAACAGGAGTCCAACATATACCCGTAATGATTTCTTTCAGCTTTTTTAAATAATTTCCTAGATTTCAACATTTTTAAGACGAGCATGTTTAAGATATTATACAATGACTTTAAATATATTAGAGACGTTTATGAAAATACTTTTATAGGGTTTCAACTGTGCGAGTAGGTACGCATCTTAATAACAAGCATTCTAGACACAAATGCCATTTGCTTAGACGCCGGGCGCTTATCGGGTCGCCTATTAAGTCCCAAGCTTCTAGGCGCCTCACGCTCGAGGGTATATTCTCCATGCAAGAAATTTATCACAACTTACTTGCTACTA